TGGGCTTTTGATCTAATCTTGCCTAAATACCTTGTTAAGGCTTCAATCAAGGTTCCAAACATCACCCAAGGGTCCTCAATTTTAATATTCAAGGTTCACTTTGCCAACCCATCAATACCAAGAGTCCGACAATCATACAAGTTTTAAGGTGACGGACACCAATTTACACCAATCCGATACGTATTAGAATTCGATTCATTACAAAGTAAACCCCCTAAAGAACCAGATGCATCAACTACAATGAAGTCAAAGTAGGAGCTTGGCCATCGTGAGTTAACCAGATAATTCTCAACTGAAGAGCACTTTGTTTCTTGCAAGAACATCATATCAATCTTTCTTTGACTAAGTAATCTCTTAATACCTTTTCTCTTCTTCTTTTTTTTTCCCTACCCCTCTGATATTCTAGGATAAGACTTTTATTTGGCACTAGTGGTGGAATGTTGTTATTGTGCCTCAAGATAAGGATATCACTCCCTATTTGCCCTTGATCCTTGACCAGTATTTACATCTTGATTTTGAATGTCAATAATCTTACTGATGATTTCTTCCTCTTGACCATCTGCTTTGATGCCCAAAAGCTTCCCAATTTCCCAAATTGTTTGGGCCTCATTCAAAATGATACGATTTCTATATGCAAAGTCATTTGAGGATTGAGAGGGATATAGTTGCAGCCGCCGATCTTAGAGTTGTTGTTTTACTTCGATTTCTTCTTCCACATCGCTTCACTTTTGCTTTTGTTTTCGCTTTCGGTGCAACTTCTCCCAAAATCTATTGGAGAAGTTTTCTTTTACCTTTCCTCTTAGATGATTCCATCAATGATTTTGCACACATTTTCAATTTCATCCCCATATGCATTTATGAATTGAATGAGAGATTGGGCTTGAAGAGTTTGAGGGCAAGCCTGAGTTGGATTTGTTCGGAAGGTTGAGTTGGGGTTTGTGGGTGAGGAAAGACCAGATAGGTAGTACGCTGAAAGAATGAATATGGGCTTTGGAAATGGTTTGTAGATGGATTATGGAGGTAAAAGACAGGCTAGGAAGATGGGTGATATTGTGGCGTTTGAGGATCGTAATTGGGCTCAAAGATGGGATAAGGGCTCAAATGGCTTTTTTAACAGAAAGGCCCATCTTATTTGAATTGGTAATAAGATGGTTATCCGTTGTAAATCCAGCTGGCATGGTTTGTTGCTTCAACTTCCTATGCAAAGGCAATGATCGGTTAACTATAGGACTTCTGACGTAAATGAGTTAATCTTTTCTAGGCCTCCTCGAAGTAACATCGTGGCTCTTATTTGCTAGTTAGGTGGCATCCATGTCATCGTTTGAATGCACCTCATTAGATACCTTTTTCCTCTAGTTTCCTTCTATAAGAGTATTTACCAGGGGTTAAACTCATTACTTGTTCCTCTGCCACTCTAATGATGTATTCTCAACCTTTACATACCAACTGAATTGATTGATTAATAATATCAAAATGATTTGTGACTATCAAGATCTTACCACACTCAAAAGATAGATTGTTTAAGGTTGAATCCTCAATTGAAATGACTTCCCCCCAAACAGAGCCAATTCTATTGAATGTGCTGTAGCTCCATGGATTCAAGGGAACTCCATAACAGTTTATCCAAACTGTTCTCTATTAGTATTCGAATAATTAATTGAATCCTATTCCTTTACTTCCTCAAATCTTTTGTTGAACCATTACATACCCATTTGAAGTTTGTTCCTCATCTCCTCTTTAGAAGGAAAGGTTAGGATATAAGACTTTCCTCTCAAAGGTCGTACTTGGATTGTTTTAGCATCATCTTTAGAGAAGGATGCCACTATGGATTGATTTGCATATGGTAGACTAGCTGAGACCACCACACTTCTATGAAGCCAATCATTGCTAGCTTCTTCTATATGTACCCTTGTTTTGGGATCAATAGTCTTTATTGTACCTTTCACTACATCTGCATAAGGTGGTCTCTTCCCTACTGGTATGTGATGATCATATATCCCATTGACATCCCGAAATGATGGTTGGAGTGGTTTTGTAGGCTTTTTTGTTGTAGTGTTCTCTGATTGTCATGGAAGCCTTGTCGAAAAGGCTTACGAAACCTTGCTAGATTTACCAAAAGTTTGAACTCATCATACCCAACACCATTAATCTTGCATACTGCTTCTTTCGCCGATTCTTGTCTTTCATATCTTATGAACCCAAATCTCGAGTTAAAATGCTTTGTTCTTCTATTAGGGATTGAGGCATGAATAACCTTACCAAATCTTTGAAAAATCCCTTTTATGATTCTGCTGACCTAGGATCTGGGATGTTGGCAATGAAGATGGTGAAGTACTTCCTTAAAATTTTTTGTAATCTTTCCACTTTCATCCATTGTTGGTCATTCCTATCTCCTCTTTCACCTTTGCCTTGGTCTCTCTCCATTGGTATGCTAAATTACTTATGTAAAAGTGTCTTTTTATTAATTTGTTTGACCAAAGTGAAGCAGCCTTGATGTTTCCACTGAATGTATGGGGTAACTTTCATCTATCTCGACTTTTCTTCGATCATCATAATTATTTTATTTTATTTTTTTACAAACATCACATCTAATTATAAAAAAAAAAATTCTATTTTCAAACACAACTATTTTATTGTCCGGCTAAAATAGTCAACTTCTCTTACACGGCCATTGTAGCATTGTGTTTGTGCCATCGCATAAATAATATAGCTTCGTTTAGTTATCCTTGTTGGGACTGAAACAATACAAAAGATCAAATAAATTAATAAAATAAAATGTTATATTCAAATTATAATCATTTCATTTTTTTTCTTATAATAGTAAAAAAATCATAAAAATTTTACCAAACGAACATTTTATTCCTAAATTAAAAAAATCTCAACTTTTAAAAAGTAACTAATTTTTTTTTTTTTTTTTTTTTTCCAAACAACAACAATGCAATATGATGATGACTAACCCATGTTTACAAGGCCCACAAAAACAAAAGGTAAAAGGACACACAGTGGTATTATGGACCAACTGACCAAGTGCATAGGTGAATACGGTACATTTGGCTTCTGCAAAAGTCAAGATGCCAATTTCCTTGCCAGCAAAAATCTGGCAGCTAGCTGGCTAAGAGTACTCACTCACACTGCCATTAAAAAAAATGGAAAAAGAACCCCAAATTTTGACCACATTGCAATGCAATGATCCCTCCCCCCTTTGATTACAATTTTTAAAAATTATTTTTAAATGAGTTTTTGTTTGTTTTATTGAATTTTTTTTTCTTTATATTTTAGTTAAATTTATTTATTTAGTAAATACAACTCAAAAGTAAAAATAAAAAAAAAAATTATCAATAATATGAAAAAAAATTTTACTAAAAACAAACGAAAATCAGAACAAAAATACATACAGATTTTTGTTCGAATATTTGTCTGTTTTTAGTAAATTTTTTTAAATATATCTTGATTAGATGCATCTAAAAAGTACAAACAATTAATTAAAATATAAAAATAAAATTACTAAAAATAAATGAAAACTCAACTGAAAATAATTAATAAAAAATCAAAGCAAACGAGTTTGTGAGGAAGCCAAATGAAACACCACGACGTCAACTTGATATTGCCCATATCTTGGATTGCAGTGAAGATGATGCAAAGGAAAGATGGTTATCTCCAACAGGAAATGACCATTTCCCTTACCTTTCTCCAAGATCAATTGGAGTCAAATCTAATAATGGTAAATGCATCACTCACCAAGTACTTCTTCTAAACAGACTTTTCCTGTAAGGTGCTAATTCATATTGGTTTTGTTAAGCAAATGGTTCCAGATTTAGGTCAAGTTTAGGAAGATTAAATAAGTGCACTTTTTGACTTTTTATGAAATATGGGTTGGGTTTGGATTGGGTTTGAAGTGATGTGTTAGAGAGGTGATGTGACTTAAATAAGATGATGCGATTTAAATAGAATAGTGACTTTTTGACTTTTTAAATTTCTTAAGAGTTACCAAACTTGACCTTAAGTGTCTATAGTGGTGACATGGTTTTCATCTCCTAATTTTGCTCCCTATTATTTTGATGGGGTTAAGATCAAGTTATTGTTCAAGTCTGTCTTAAAGAGTGTTCATTCTCTCATGTGCAGTGTTCTCACTTTGTCAAGTCTCTATAGGTTTTGCTTATCCGTCTACCTAACGAGTAATTGCTTTTTTGATCACGTTTCAAGATAATTGCTATAGTTAGTTATCATGTCTTACCTTTTTCAATTTTTTTTTAATTTTTTTTATTTTTTTATGAAAAGAAAGAGAAGAAAAGACTTTCATGTATCATGGTAGAACGTGCAAGAAATCATGTGTCCTATTACAACCAAAGGGATTTTTTTAGTTATAAAATAGTTACTTCCATTAACACAGCTAATGACAGAATAATAAAACCTTAATCTCGAATAAAAATTCAATGTCACGGTGATATCACATTATCACAAACAAATTTTATCACCAATCAATAACTATAAATAGGATGGTAAATCTCAATTGAAATATAACAAATCACTTCAACATAATTATATAACCACCACATACATATATGATGGATTTTTACCGTGAGTAATGCTAGAGACCTCAAATATTCTACCAAATGTCTCACATGGGTGTGGAACCCACACAATGTGGGTCCTGTGGGTCCCACACCCATGTGAGACATTTGGTAAAACTTTTGGTAGAATTTTTGGGGCCTCTAGCATTTTTGTTTTAGCATACTTCATAATAGTTTGTTACAGTGGTGATAGATCCCACTAAAAATGGACCACTAAGCCAGCTCTAATGAGCTGGCAGTCCAGAAAAAAAAAAAAAAAACAAAACAAAACAAAACAAAGAGCAAAACATCAAATCAATTAGGGGCACAGTATTTTTAGAGCTATTAGAGCTCATTGTTTTAGTGGTCTCAAACAATTTTCTAGTTTGTTAATAGATAGTGATACACCCTTGACCTAATCTCACTCTCGGTAGTATAATGCAAATACTTTAATGGCTTGGAAAGCAAACACAACCAATAGTTATCCCGTTACCATACAAGTCCTTAGCTCACCAACAATCAACATAGAAATTTTGTTGGCTTAGAAAAATACAAACCCAGTACAACAAAGATCTATTCCAGTAAATATTATACTATAATCAACATAGAAAATACTTTCGATTCCACAATGTCTAGGCTTTTCATGAACCAAAAGCTAAACTTGAGAGAAAAAAAAAGAGCTAGCGGGCCCCACTTTAAAAGGCATTCATTCCTAAACGTTGAAACAAAATCCAATCACATCCCAACTTTACAAACCTCTTTTGATGGCCAACATGCAACACAGATGCATCAAATCACACCACCACTCCCACAATTCCCCTATTCTCCGGAGTCCTCATTGCTCTCAAAGCTTTTTCAAAGTCAAGAAAGAAACCCATCCCAAGCAAACCCATCATCAAAAGTTGTGGTTCCAAATGTATCTTGTATTAGAAAAGTGAAGATTGAAAGAAACAAAAACAAATTGAACAAGTGAGCAAAACTAAGAATGATTGTTGTACAATCAGCTCTCAAGTCCTATATCCTATCTTAGGGGCCTCCATTCCACTTTTGTGAGATTTTTTGAGTTGAAATTAGCTTTGCTTTTACTTCCCTTTTTACCTCCTCTGTTTCTCATTTCTTTCACATGTTTGCTGATGAGACAATCAACTCCAAAATCATATCCCAGAAATTTTAACACACTCATTACACCAATAATAATCACTTAATACACCACTGCCAAAGACGTAATCAAAATTCCTCTACCGGCATCACTTCTCATTGGGTATGCTATATATTTTTATCAGAGTCATGGAATGTAAACCTTTTTCTTTTGAGTTCTAATTGCAGAACTAACCAAAGAATTTTCAAAAACATCAATCTCTCTTGATCGGATCGGCGAGAGGTGAGAGGATATTTTAAACTTGGGTTCTATTGTTACTTTCTTCATGTCTAATTCCTGCATTTGATTATAGCAAGAAGACATGTCCTCCTGTAACAAAAAATGCCACCAAATAAATATACAATACTCATTGATTATAATCCACCTACATTTTCTATAGAAAAATAAATATTAGAAATTGACGTCAAGGGAAATGAGGATGAAAATCAAGACTCACAATTTCACTTGGAGAGAAAGCATTGACTGTATTCTCAAAAGCCTGCTTTGTTAGTTTTCGATTCAACGCCACCAATGTTGCAGCCCCAGCTATGACAGACGGTCGATGATCCATTAAATTTACATCTATAAACAAGATCAAAGACCAGTGTAGAAATTAAATGCAAATCAATTCAATGATTTGAAGATAAATAAATCTTCACAAAATTTGAAGAGACTTGTGCAAGTGAGTGAAATCACAATTTTGACTTGCAGGACCTCTTTGCATATCTAGATTTTTACAATTACTATCTGTACCAATTGGTATATCAATTAGTGTACCAACATATGCTATAACATTACAATTTCAAAATTATTTACCACACGCATTATACATACTATAAAGACTCAAACTTCTAAAACTATGTTATATTTTCCGTTAGTACATCAATTGATATGGCAATTGGTGCGTATAGATTTATTCTTACCATTTTTATTTATTATTATTTTTTTTTTTTGGGTTTCAATTGATTTGCAATTCTGTCTAAAATTTACCTCTCATTATAGCCAAAATGAGGTGTACAGTTCTAGAAACCACATTCCTTGGTGGTGGAGAGTGATGGTTCCCAAGGGTTCTGATGAAGTAATGAATGAAAGCAAAAGGAGTGACTGAACTCATTCTCCACTCCAATGTATTCAATACCAAAAGCTCCATTCTCTGAATAACTTTGCTGTCAAAGTTGTATTCCTCCAATTGAAACTCTGAGGGTGATGGTACTCTGTATTCCTCCATCTTCGCTGCCAAAGACAAGCACGCCATTGATAACAATTGCATCGCCCACCACTTGTCACTCTGCTTTTAATTATAATAACCAACAATCAACCAAAAAACTTTAAAATTCATAATCAAAATTGAAATTGAAATCAAACTTACATCAATAGCTCGCCTCGAAAGAAACCGGTCAAAATATGTCATTGCTAAGTAACCTGTTTGAAATCGGAATCCCAACGACGATCTTGTCTGGATTACAGTACACAAAACTGAGTCATAAATAATGAAATTAATATTGTAGTATAGATAGATATATAGAGAGAGATGGATGCGTAAATGAGAAAGTTTGGATTTGGAAATTGAAACTGACTTTGAGGATCCAAGCGATGGCGTTTAAGCGAGCACATTTGATCCAGTTATCGATGACGATGTGTGAACAATTGTGGGTTTGGAACCCAACATTGATCTCTCTGTCCAGCAACAATTTTATACATTCCTCTTCTTCTTCAGAATTTGAAACAGTGTAATCACTCAAATTAATCAAGGTGTCTTCATCTAAGTCTTCTTCGTCCAAGTGAGGCTCAGTTTCTTGACAGAGGAGCTCGCTAGAGAGAGAAGATGTAGAGCGAGAATGAGAATCGCCCATTGCATTATTCTCGCTTTCTCGGGAAAACAGAAGGGAATATAGGATACGTATTTATCAACCGCTAAATCCACGATTTGGAGAGAGAAAGTGAGGTTTATTTGACCACATTGAGGAGAAGAGAGAGAGATGGTGCCCTCCAATTCCAAATATATCGGAGTGTGATATAGATGGAGGCAATTTTTAAGGGAAAATGTTATAGATTTTAAATAATTTATTAAATTTTTTATCAAATTTTTTATATGAGTGTGAGACTCACACAAATATACATGTGTGTGGGGTCTCGCATTGATTTGATAAAAAATTTGATAGATTATTTAGAGTTTTTAACAGCACTCATTTTTAAGTATGTAAGTGTGTATAATATGTATTTGTGTAATTTCTTATAAATAAATGTAAGTTATTTTATAAAATTGTATAAACTTTTATAAATATATGTAAGTTAATTTTAAAAAATTTTTAAAATCACAATTTATATACTCCTTCCGTCTCAAAATAATGATCATTTTTAGAGAATCTAACTTTTTTTGATAGTACATTAATTGTACTTTAAAAAAAAATAATTTTTCAAAATTATCCACTAATTTGGGAAAAAAAAAAATTTTTAATTTGTTTAGTTTGTAAATTTTTCAAAATAATTTTCAAAATCACTTTTTCTCTTACCTATCAATTAATCATTTTTTCTCTCGCCTCTTTTATTCTCAATCACTTTTTCCTCACACACGTTTACTCAATTAAAACAAAATATCAAATCATTCCAAACTCCCAAACTCCAAAACTACTTTCAAAATACACAACCAAACAAACCAAAAATATTCTAAACTCTCTTCCCAAAACAATTTTTAAAAACTACTCTCCCAAAACCAAACTAAACATATCCATTATTTTTGTACTTAATTTTTGAAAAAAAAATAATATTTTGAGATAATAAAAAATAAAATAAAAAATTAACCCATAATCATTACACTCTTCTCTCACAAAAAAAGTCAAAAAAGCCAAAAAGTCCTTCCCAAACCAAGCTTTTTAGCCCAGACTAAAATAGCCAAAAAAGCCAAAAAGCCAAAAAGCCAACCCACTTCCCAAACGGAGGCTCAAATGTTTTTTTTGATAGATGGATGGAGTTTCGTTGATTGATTTGATTGTAGCCAAACAAGTGTGGTGGTTGTGGGTTGAGACTGTGAGTCATGGTTTGGAGCCTTGGTGGAAGGTAGTGATGATGGTGAGGTAAGAGAATCATGATTTCAATGACTCGTGAGGGTGCTGTTATGGAGCGTTGGTTTGGGATATTTTAAATTAATGTATTTTTTAATTTTTTATAAAAAAAATATAAAAAATAAGAAAGTTAGATATAAAAATAAAAAAAAATGTTGATTGATGTGATCTAAATACATATATGTATATAAAAAAAATATACTTTTTTAGTGTAGGCCAACCACCTACTAAGATTTTAACTTGTTTTGAAAAGTATGTTAAAAGTTAATTTTTTAATTTTTTATATTTTTTTAAAAGAATATGTAAAAATATAAAGATGTGATTTGATTTTAAAAAATTTAAAAATTTAAAACATTACTTTTAGTTGAGTTGTCAAAACAAACCTTTATGAAATTGCCTTCCAACCAATTTCAGTCATTGAATTATTTTGTTTTTATATTTTAAAATACTCATTATTATTATTTTTATTTTTAGATGGGACTCGTAATTATTAATTAAACCCTATAACAATAAACATTTTAAAATTTAATCTCACCAATTTGAATTTGTGAGTGTTTTAAGATAGAGGATTTGCACTCTCCTTTTCTTATTATATGATAAATAAGTGTTACACTTAATTCTAAAGGGTTAGTTAAGCAGTAAAAATTTAAAAATAAGATTCAATGTCTCAAATTTGAGTTAATCTAAAAAAGCACTAGAGGTCTACCTAATGTAAATTACAAGGCCTCGGGATTAGTCCATGTGTGCAAAAGCTTACTCTAATACCCAATTATAAAAATTTAAAACAAAAATCAATACTATACCCATAATAAATTTGAGTTTATATGAGACGATAAATAATAATATTATGATGAATATCTATTAAAATTTATTTAATGTATCATGTGTTATTATTGTATTGATTTAACGAGTCTAGAAAAATATTTGAAGAAAATGTAAGCTTCATAATATTGGGATAAGCTCCTCTCGTGGGCTCTAACTCACTCTATATTTGTTCATGTTTTTCTTCTGTGTTCTAACCCAGACACATACAGATGATTCGAATCGTTTACTTTTGTAGGTCTTGTAATAAAATTCATTTAAGCAAAAAAATAATTTTATCTAACAACTATAAATATGGGACAAAATGTGATAATTTTTGTGTTTATAGTTGTCTGATAAAAACAATTTTTTGCATAGATGACTTTTATTGAAGGGCTTACGAGATAAACGTTTTGAATTATCAATGTAGCTTCAAATTAGAGCTCACAAAAAAAGTATAAATAAATATGGAGAGATGGAGATATAGAGGAGATCTCATCCCCATAATATTAGAAATAAAAAAAAGATCCAGAAAATATCACACCTTTTATTTCAAATTATTTGGACAATTGGATACCAATTATTGATCGACAATGCTACGTAGCTCAAATTTTGTGGCTCAAAAGTGGCTCAAATGGCCAAAACGACGTCGTTTTGAGTACAGAACAACATAAAAATGGCCAAAACGACGTCGTTTTGGCCATTTGAGTCACTTTTGAGCCACAAAATTTGAGTTACGAGACATTTTCCATTATCGACTCATTTAGGAATCAATCATAGAAAATGCGTGATTAAATTTAGATGTGATGTTTTAAGAATTTCTCTCTGATGAGTCATTTCACATATCAAAAATAAACATTAAACTATATCAAATTTCGTAGAATAATGGTAAGTCCAGGTATCGATCCACAAGGACAAACGAGAAATTAAACTAATTTAATTATTAAATTCCTAAATTAATTTTGATAAAAAGATTGAGGGATATCATGACTAAACAAGAATTAAATGAAATTGAGAAATTGACTTGACAATTAAAAGTAGGGTTTGAGATATTGACTTCTGGGAAAATCCTAGGGCAAAAAATTCACCACTAACCACATAAATAAGACTTAACATCGGCCATCAATTGCAATCCAGCTTGAACTATCCAATATTTTACAACTACAAGTTTGAAACATTGATCAAAAGGATTGTTGCATTCAATGTACAAGCACGAATTATCCCAAGTAGCACGAGTCGTTGCTCTAAACAATAGTAGCAACACGACCCGTCTCTCGTAGCATGACTCATTTCATACTTTGAACACAAACATAAAGAAAACTAATGTATGGAAAGCATTAAACAATCACAGAAAATAAAATACTTGAAGAGATAACAAAGAAAATTATTATAAACTTCTAAAACATCCATATATTTATTCAAACCATTTCACAATCAAAGCCTAAGAAAAATCTCTTACATGGCTAGGGTTTCATCAAAATCCTAGAAACAGCAGCCTAGCCACCCATGTAGGAATGTGAAGAGGTGGAGGAAGAAACAGCCACCATGGGAGACATTCTTTAAACTTCAAGTTCTTTTTTTCAAACCACAGCCTCTCTCTCCCTTTTCTCTAAAATATTTTCAAACCCCTTTTCAGCCTTTTTTTTTTTTTTTTTTTATTCCCAACAGAAGAGCGTTAAATTTTCATGCATGCAACCCTAGGTGGGCCACTCGAGCGATGGTGGACCGCACGTGTGGTAGAGCTTGCCCGCATGTGTGGCAAGGTGGCAGGCTCATACTTTCCACTACTTGCACAGACAATCTGCTTTTGCGCCACTTTTTGCTTGAATTTGTATGTTATCGGCCAAATCTGTACAAGTGCACAAAACACATCATCTCCACCAAATAAACAAAATTCAAAGACTATAAATATAACTTAAGCGGCTTCAATGTGGTACCTTTCGGCCTACATCACATCTCCTAATTTACATTTTCCAAGTCCCTCGAGCAAAACAATAGGAATTAGAAAAAGAAAAGACTTTAAGCCACTTTTGTAAGGATCACGATTGCATTGAGCATATGCAACAAGCATTTAAACCACAAGGTTACCCTAAATGGACGAGTATAGTCTCGTGAGGGTTTCCAGAAATGATATCCACAAACATCAACATATTCACATATGTCCAACAATAATAAGTAATCACATTACTCTAACTATTAATTAACTTATGTGCCAACAACAATGTGATATTAAGACATGATGAGTCATTGAAGGCACAATGGACAAGCATGAAGGAATCTTTTGAGCAAGAACCACAATCCAGTTAATACAAAAGTTAAGTCCCATGTACTTGTGAATGCTAGTAAACACATCATCAGTGGCCTTGGTGTAAAGTGCATTCCCAATAACTAGTTAACTATCCACTATAATAGCCTAGTGTAACTCACAATAACACCAAACATATATAGAAAAACTAAACTTTTGCAATGAAGATTCTCATCAAATATTTTTTTTTTTTTTTTGAAAGACTGTGCAATGTCCTAATCTATTAAGCTTTCCAATCAACCCATGTAACAAGCATTGGGTTAACAACTCCCAAACCAAGCGATTTTAGGGAATTAGGTGTGAAAACACCCCTACGGGCTTAATAACTCGAGCTGAAAAGGTTACGAACCTGAGCAAGTCTTTATTTTTTCTTAACTGTACAATGTCTAGGTCCTTTAAGCTTTCTAATTAACCCATGTAGCAAGTATTGGGCCAATGACTAACAAACCAGACGATTTTAGGGCACTAGGTGTAGAGACACCCCTACGGGCCTAATAACTCGAGTTAAAGAGGCTACGAACCCCAACAAGTAAACTTTTTTTTTTTTTTTTTTTTTGAGAATCAAGGCTACTCATTTATTCTTTTTTTGCAACAATAGCAATTACTATCAATGATATACACCAAAGATTAGAATAGAGAGGTCACCGCTATGAAAGTGTGTTTATGTGAATCAAGGCATACTCATGACAAGTGCACTAATACCACAAATACAAACAACTCTCCTAGTACAAACATCACATGCGAGTATTTACCTAATAAATCCTTTTCGTACAAGTCCACTATGTTCCCCAATTAACATATGCTTATATCAC